AAAAAAAAAAAAAAAAAAAAACCACCAAAGTCCACCCATTAAAATGACAAAGCTGAGGACAGAAAGGGGCACTCTGCATAATATTACACTGTGAAAGCCTCCCTCCAAGTTGGCCACCATCATCGCTTGGAATACTCAACCCTTGCAAATGAAGCTTGATTCTGAGAAGCACAAGCACTGTGAGAGGAAGTATTTTTCCTCAGAGTTTCAAAATTAATTACATACATGGACTTGAAGTACAATCTACCATCATTTTCAGCAACAGGGTCTGTGACAAGGGCAGCCCCATACGGAACCACGGGAAGAACAGGACTCATGGTAGGTCCTCACTGTGTAACTCATATGTGGACACAGTGATTAGAACAGCACTCCTGAGACTGTGCTTGCTGGGGTGGGTTCAGAGAGCCTTCTGGGAACCAGGTTTAACCCCAAGCAGTCGGTCAGCAGATCCTGAAACAAGCTTGTATGTGATAGCCACGAAGATTTGTTTAACAAATAAAACATTATTGCCCTCAAAAATAGCCCAGGATTAATCTTTTTGTAGAAAAACAAGGTTTCATTTCTATGGTTCATGTGATCTGGGGAGCAACTCTAGGCATAGTGTGGCCTGTGAATAAAAGCAATTCACCGGGTTAGTCCGATGACCATTTCACTATTTTTTAAACAAAATCGGTAACCGTATTGATCAATTCAATTTAAAATTTGTTTAAATCTATCCTAGACACAACCAATTTCATGAAATAACTTCTAACACTTCACTCAGTTTAATCCCCAAAGTCAGTGAGGTAGGACAGCTAGTGGTCTTTGCTGGAGGATTAACTTGGAACACAAGGAAGGAAAAAAATGTGACAGAACTTCCCTTGGGCTACATAGCAAGAAACGTTGTGTCCTTTACCTTGGTCAAAGGGCTTGTTGGGATTCCAGTTTCTGAAATAATCATCCTACAAAAGGAAAAAATATAAAACAAAGGTCAGATCTCAGGAGACTTCTCACACAACTGTATAAAAACTGTTCTTTCTCCCCATTTCCCAAAACACAAGGGAAAAGATTCAACTTAAAAATCTTTTCCCAAACATGTATTAATGTGCAGTCAAAAATATCTATTTACTTTTCACAATCTTGTCTTTCAAATTCTACATATCAAACACTGGAAATCGTATAAACATTGCACCCCTATATGAAAGTGCATTGTGCTTCTTGGCTTAGGTACATAAATCCCAGTACTTTAGAGTGAGCGCGAGGCATTTGCTCTCGATTTACTGCAGGTGGTGGCTGGCTGGTTTCACCTGTGACTACGCCTCTGCGTCTGTAACAGCTGATAATTCAACTGTCAACATTTCTGTTACAGGGAGAGATGTATCTTGTAGTGCACAGTTCCAGTTTTCCAACACTCACAAGACATAAAAACAGAGGGTCGTTCAAATGTTAGAAGTAATCACTGGCATAGGTTAGCTTTACACCACCACTCTGTACGAAAGGACAGAAGAACAAAGGCTGGCCAGCCTGGTGTATTTGTTGCCATGTCTTTCTTGCATGTACTGTGCAGCAGGGACGCTCAGAAGTTGCGAAATTCATTACCTTCCGATCGCCTAGGCCACTCCTTCACGGTTATCTTAACCTCCGTCCCCATCCTTCCAAACCTCCACTGTGTGCTTGCTTGATCTTCCTCCTGTGCATGCATGGCCCCACTCATCCCCAACACACACACACTGTCAGCAGAACTGTGCCGTTTGCCATCAGAAGAGTGCACGTCATCCCCACACCTCTAGGGTACTGGCCTCTTTTCAGTTAATGTCCAGTTTATATAATGTGGGGGATTGGGACAGAACCTCAGCATGATGCAGACATTTTCACAAAGCTGTCCAAAATTAGGCCTCTATTTCTCTGCCGGAGAAGTTAATGTACATCAAAGTGCACAATTAGTTTAAATTATTGTCCATACTGTCTCTTGCTGCAGATTATCTCCAACAAAATCTCCCGTGAATTTTATTGGCCTCTATGTTGTTCAATTACCCGGCTTTATTAGATCCTGGGTGAGTTCACCTAAGCCCTTAAATAGATTTTAGGAAACTGGATTTAGAGTAAAATCAGAACATATTGCTTCTTGGCCAGTAATTTCATTTTCCAGAGCATGAATAAACATGAACAGGTTCCTCTGGATCCAGGAGATTTAGCATTAAACTATTTTTAACTCCAAGGAATTAGCCACTTTGCCCTGGCCTTAATTTTATGGCCTTCCTGGCCTTGCACCCAACTGATTAGGGAGCCTTTACTATCCACACTATGAAATATCACTGAGAAAGTTTAAAACAATCTCTCTGTAATATTCCTCTCCATTTATTACTTTAAATGCAATCTGAATGTTTTGGAATTGTGCTGCCTAAAACTAGGCAATCAGTATTAAATGATTTGAGGTAAGGGGCTAGATGATATGTAGAACATTTAAGATTTGATTTCTCAGTATGATGGCCAGTACACTCTTAGCCTTATACGGCCATGTGACCAACTGATTCTGTTATTATAAGGGGAAGAGGAGAGATAACCCAAGATGGCCTCATTCTCACCACTGGAAGAAAAAAGGAACAAATAGTGCATCCTATCCTCACTGTGGTTCATCCATGCTCTCTCCACATAGAGAGGACAGCACTGTATCCACTGGCCATGTGGAATCTTGTAAAATAGTTTTTATTTGAACACGCTGTCCTAGGAGTTGGAAACCCTTCGAAGCTTAAGATGTGTGTCTGACAGGGAAGGGCTAGAGCCAAAGACAAGTTCCTTTACTTTAATTTCACATGCCACATTCTCTTTGATGTCAAATAAAAGTAGCAAGTCTCAAGAATGGACGATTCCTTAATGATTTCAACATATTTCATAACTCGGATAGAATGTGAAACATTATTCTGGACCTTGTCACTTCTCCAGTTTACCTATAATTACCATTTTTATATATTTCTTGGGGAAAATCACAGTTTCAAATATAAAGCCTCTAAAAGCAGGTAGCTGTGTAAGAATATTTAGAACTCATTGCAAATGTTATAATAATGCCTAATTACTGCAAAATGTGAAAGTATACCTTGAGTGAAAACTCATTATGCAAAATAAGCCCTTCAAATAGCCCCTTGACCAGCAAGGCCAAGCAGGGACAGAAAATTATTCCCTGTATCTGACTGCTTCTACCCTGCCTTAGAAAAGTAGACTGTCAAAGCAAAACCAATGAGCCAGGAGTTGATAAAACCTTTGTTATGGCTTTGGCTATAGCTGACAGAAAACCCCCCTATTGGGATCAAGGCCCTGATTATGTGTGAAGTACGCTACACAGCAGAGCCCACCTGAGGGATGGCCAATGAGCACTGAGGAAGATGCTTTTTAGCAGTCATCGTTGTGTCAGTGTCCGAGTGTGAGATGCAGGAGTTATTCATGAACACTGAGCCACACCTACAGCCACAGTCAGTTCATGCAGGCTGGGGCTGCTTCAATGCATGCATTCATGTCTGGGAGGATTTCTGGTGAGGCAGCATCTGAATGCATGTGCAAAAAGCCAAAGATAAAAGAGTGCTGTGTCTGGCAGAGCTTCACCTCCTGAGAATCTGCGCATTCTTGTGGCCCACCTACCACTCAGGATGCCTGCGGCACACAGGACAACTCTCTGTAGTCCTGAACAAACACTCTGCTAATGCCAAAGTGAGTCACTTCTCTAGGGCCCAACATCCAGGGGCCACTAGCCAAGCCTTCCTTTTATCTTTCTATCTAAATAGAAACATAGAATTTATGTTTTGCTGTCAATTCGCTCTGTTTCCACTCTAGGAAGCAGTGTGCCTATTACCTTCACCACCCTACTACTCAGTTACATGAGGTTGTGTTCTTGCTGTACAGATATCAGACTAGAGGCCAGCAAAGTGCAGGACTGTAAGAGCCTTTATCTCTGACCTTGTTCTGGCCCAAGCAAGTTGCAGCCTGTTGAAATTCAGAATTGTGGTAAAAGGCAAATTGGGTAGATAAAACTTTACAGGTAAGTATATATCTGTTAGAGTTGCTCTCTTGATTTGTAATCTTACCTAAAATGTGGCTTTAAAGGAAAGACTTGCAATTATCCCAGTAACAGCTAATTTTAAAAACATAAACCTAACTAGAATGATGCATATCTAAATATGGTCATTTATTAAATTCAGTAACTCCCATTAATGCATTTCACAGGCTGAGCCTTGAAGGATGGCAATGTTACTGCATATGTATATTTAATAGACTATGCTGCAAACTGTCATTACGCCAGGCCTCTTACAAGGGAGAGCAAAGAACAGTCTTGCTCTCACTTCTAGCTAACCCGCATTAAGAAAGGCTGACTCCATTTCCCTGTACCATGTCATAAGTGAAACTTATCCACAGGAACTGCTAAAAATCCAAAAGAAACAATCAATTTAAACAGTGGCTCAACCTCGAACATAATGACTGGTATCTGAAATCATGAAGGGCAGCAGAAAACATCCTGAAAGTCATCATGAAGACCAGCGTATGAAAGTGATGAGTGACCAGGATGAGGAAAAGGAAAGATATGGCACTGGTGGCAGAGTAGAATCAGGTACTGGGAATGACTACGGCTATGATTATTTCTTTATCCTCTATATTTGATCACAGATAAAACCATATTTCTTCATTTATCTCACTAAGTATCCACTAACCTAGTACTGAATCCTATAAAACTTTGGGCTCACAGCAACTGGTGCAAAGAAATTAATACTGGGTTTTTAACTACTTTAGAGAAAGGCTCTGGGCTGATCAGCATCAACTGGAAAGAAAATCTAGATAGAAAAATGGATAGATAGACTGACGCATATATATCATAATAGACATCAGTAAAGACATATTCATTAATATGTATTAGTAATAGCATAAAATATTTGGAAAAAATGTCAGTATTGAACACAGACTTTTTTCCTTGTCATTATTCACTGATAGTTGTAACAATTATCTAAAGTACATACAGTTTTATTAAATATTATGAGGAAACTAGAGATGATTTAAAGGTAAAGTATATGAGAGGGTGTGTATATGTTCTTTGCAACTACTATGCCATGGTACACAAAAAACTTGAACATCCACTGATTTTGGTATCCTCAGAGGTCTCCCACAAATATCAAAGGATGATTACATATATGAAGAACATTCCAGGCATAGAACACACCTGCAATTCCACACTCTGGGAGACTGAGGCAGAAAGATCCCAAGTTCAATCCCAGGCAGGGCAACTTAGCAAGATCCTGTCTCAAAACAGGAAAAATGAAAAAGGGGTTGGGAAATAGTTCAGTGCGAAGGCCCTGGGTTTAACACCCAGTACCACACACACTACAAAAATTTGTATAATGCATCTTTCAATGAAATCTGTAAGTCTGCCTAATATCAAAGGATGCCAAAATATTACAATGTGGGTGATTAAGCCTCTTCACCAAATATGGGTCTAGTTGATGAGAAAGTTTAATACTACCGCTATTTTCAATAGGAACATGAATTTTCTTTTCCCGGGCCACAGCTAACAGCTCATGCAATTTAGCTCAAATATTCCTCAGGGATCTGCCTTTCAAGAGGTGCTTATTTCAGCTCCTACTTTGAGGAAGAGCTGAGGGGCAAAATCCAAACTGAAGCCACTCTGGAAACCCAACTGCTTTGGCTGATGATTATGAAGGTGATGGTGTAATTTATTATATACCATAGCTTCAGATCAAAGATGTTTAGCTCACATGAAACAGATAATTTCTCCCTCATATATTTTTCAGCTAAACTGTTTGAACCCTGCAGTTCTATCTGAACAGTACCTGAGATAATACAAATTACTATCCCGAAAAATAAATTAGATGCTCATTTGCCTTAACCAAACTTGAGCAACACCATGTACAGAAGGAAGAAGCTCAGTGCAGAGAGGGCTAGGCAGCCACTCTGGGACCATAGGTGGGTCCACTGAAAGGAAATTCAAGCAGAAAAAGCACTTCCTCTGAGGTCTGGGGAACTAAGGCCAGATTTATAGATGTAGATGTATAGATTTATAGATGCATAGATTTATTCCATGTAGATGGAGGCAGAGTACACTTTACCAAACCCAAAACAAAAGGACTGTGGCCAAACTGTTCAAACCAGTTGAGCTCATTCTCAGGTTTCTTGACTGGGGAGGCCCAGAGGAAGGTCTGGTTTGTGGGTAGGAGGTATCCTTAAAATAATAAAGAAATCACTAGAAATGTGTGAGATTTTTAGACAACGTTCAATGAGGGCATCTCTATATAATGTGGCATGGTCTGGCCATTTTAACCTGTGTGCAATGAAAATTCCTGCTAATCAAGCTACCATAAGGTACAAACTCTTTTTTTTTTTTTTTTTTAATGAAATGGCACATCCACCTGCCAGGTTGGGTAATGCCTTGAGGCCTCCCACACACCACTCATGAGACCCCTGTCTATAAGGGTCTGGGAGTCATGTGCATTAATCTACTTCCATCCACATATGTCACCCCTACCCCAACCCCAAACATACATTCTTGGACCTAAGCCACTTCTGAACAGGAGTGCATCTTACTCACCTGCATATTTCCTAAAATATTACTCAATAGCACACAATAAATCACAGCTGAATTGCAACAAATACAAGTAAGCTGTTCCAGCTTTATTAACAATCTCTGTAGTCCCCGAGAAATTCCCATAACTGTTACTGGTGTGTGTAAATACAGGTGGGCGTGTGTTTATACACGCACTCTAAATCACTTTCATCCTGAATAGCACAATTCCTTGATAAATTGGTCTGACATTTGGTGGAAAGTCCTGCAGGCCTTAGACAAAATGATTTAGAAAATAACAATGTCAGTTGCTTTGCTCTTTCAATAAATAACCCACCAGTAAAACACAGATAATAACTGACAATCATACTTGTACTGTAACTAATGAGAAAAGATAAAGCAGCAAATGGACTGTTTGTATGCATCTGATAAATTGCAGCCCCTGGATATACCAATGAAAAACAAATGTGTGTTGTACTGGTTCACTGAACAAAAGCAAATATCTATGGCTGAGATTGAAGATTTAGGATAATATTTACATTTTATTTGGCAACTATTTTGATACTATGTCTACATACAGTTGAAAAGTCAAAAACCTACCTCAACTTCCTGAGTACGAAAGCATTATAAATGAGAAAAAATAAAAGATTCATATCAAACAATAGGAAGAAATGTATACATTTTTGATAATCTCATCTAATTTTTAAATTCTCATAACATTAGAAAGACCATAGTCAAATATTGTCCCTTAAGTCTCCTACCATTATTTCTTTGAAAAGGTCCCAACATTCATGCAGTTTATAGGAAATGATGTGAAGTTCAGAAAAATAGATCTGGGAGAAGGAATTTGAGTGTGCCCAAGGATTTATGCACTACTGCAGAATACTTAGCAAAATCATGAAGAAATCCAGACACTCAGCCATCATTACCATCTGTGAGAATTTCAAATAAGTAATTGCCTATGCCATCAGACCAAACAAAATTCAATAAAAATTCCAAGATGACATCAAAGACCAAGAATAACAGACCTTCTTCATTTCTGGAGAAAAAAAATCATTTTGCCTTGCTGCTCCAAAATAGCTCGAGGAAGTTTCAAACCTATGAACGATGTGGATTTATGGTCTTAGGAAATGTGTAAAATGAACTGGATTGGCATGTCTCTCCAGCTCATCAAAGGATTATAATCACCATAAAGGGCTCTCCGCTCTTGGAGACTTTGTCTTCCTCTGTAAGTCCATCCAACCTGGAGTGGAAAGAAGTGATCCACAAAGTTGTTCTTTCCCAAAGAGAGAAAAAAAAAATGAGTCTGAGGTTCCTTCCTAAAACTGAATTTGGATTTTTCTTCTGGGAATCTGATGGGGAATAAGATGTCCCACGAATACTATGACCAAAACAGAGGGTGTCTCCCCAGCCTCAAAACCACCTGTTCTGTTGGCCTCATTAGCAAAGTTATCAAGTTATCTGAACTAACCTAGAACAGCTTTCTCAGTATCTAAGAATGAGAGAAGCAGCCCAGACCATGGAATCAAAGGCAGAGGAGATTTTATGCACTGGGCAGGCTTTGAAATAGATGTGGGTTCAAATCCCCCTGGGCAGGCTTTGAAGTAGACGTGGGTTCAAATCCCAGGTCTGGCAGTTACCAGCTATGTGGCCTTCCACGACCCACTTGGCATCTCTACATCACCTCCTTTATCCCTAAAAACAAGACCACTGAACCTACCTTGAAGGATGATCACTGATTTGTGATATTAATGCAAAGTATCCTGTTATCGGCCACACAGAATTACTGAAACATACATACTTTCATGAATACCTCCTGAGGCTTATGGCAGTTGGATATCCCAAGTACATGGAGGGAAACATTAGGCTTTGTGGAAACAATATAAATAAGCTCAATTAATGTAAACATTATAGGCCATAACATGAACTAAGATGAATATTATCAACAAGAGTGAAAAATGGGAGAGGGGAATTGGAGGAAGAGGAAGGGAAGGAGAGGAAGGCAAAGGGAGGGAATTAAAAAAAAAAAAGAGGGTCGGGGATTTAGCTCAGTGGTACCACCCACCTGTCTCATAAATAAGAGGTCCTGAGTTTGACCCCAGTACCAAAAAAAAAAAAAAAAAGAAACAAACAAACTATGGTATATACATGTAACCACTCCCCAAAAAGAGTATAAACTGCATGAACTATACATATGTACTAATGAAATAAAAAATAAATTAAAAATTTTAATAATGTGACTTCCTGTACATTTCTTTTTACCAGTTGGATCTGAGGAAAAACCCAACTGCAACTGAAAAAATAATTATGAAATATTTAAGTGCATGTAACGATTTACCTCATATATGAAGAATGCTTTAGAAAAAAATTCAGTACAACTTAAAAAGTTGAGTTGCAGCCATATCTATTTAAAGGCCAGATTCACACTCTTGAAAGTTCAGTGATTTACCCCCTTCTATTAAATAGAACATATTTATTAAAAAGAGATAATACCTATACCAGTGGGGTCTTTTGGTCATCAAAGTGTGGTTTTGAACCATTGCAAGGTACTATATATCGCATAAATATACACAAATTAAAGTTTCAATTATGATTTACTGTGTTCTGATAAGGTTCCCAGGAGTGAACAGGCAATATTTTTATTCATCATGTTTGCAAATATAAAGCAGATAGAGGGACCCTGAAAAGGTCTGTCTCAATGGCACACCGAAAAAGGCCCTTGTCATCTTATAGCACCTAAAATTATATTTTTCAGAAAGAACAAATTACACTGGCCCGAGGTCCTGTCTTGTCCAAGGATCACACATCCCAAGTTAATTAGGCCCTACCATCTTTCTGAGAATGCCTGGAAGGTCTCAGTGAACACAAAGCTGCTACCTTCTAGAGAAAAGATCACCCACAAGGACCAATTGCCCTGCCCTCTACCCCTTGACCTGTATGGAAGGCGCCAGCTTGAGAGACAGGTGACAACCACGGTTCCCACCCTAGGCTGAACACAGGAGTGGAGATTTCCAGCACTGAGACAAGAGATGCAGGCAGGGGCCTGGTGTGGGCCTCCACTCTAGGATGTCATGAAAGCTTTTCAACTGATTCTAATGCACAGTTCTCTGTGTGGAAGGTCATACACTAGCTCAGTCATAATGCCCGAAGAGACTAAGGGAAGGGCAGGCACACTACAAGCAGCATACCAGGTAAAGAACACCAGACACGTCCCCAGCTTCTGGAGCTTTCCTAGTCATCTCCATCTTCCACACACACAGTCCAGCTGAGGTGTTCCCAGCTGAATACATTGGACCTCTGTTACCTAGCTGCCCAGTCAAAGACCAAGGCCACCGAATGGACTCCTCTTTCTTCCTCCCCTTTGTCATCTGGGCAACAAACACGTCCTCTCCAATCTCATCCCCAGATCTCTCTCACATCCTCCCACTTCTCCAAATCAACATAACTTTTCTCTCACTTCAGGCCTCCAGGTCATAATGCAGAGCTGCCATGTGCCCTGCCCAGCTTTGTTGCTTTCCTTGGCCCCTACCCAGCCTCTTCTCCAGGCTGTCCCTGGAGCGACCTAAAGGACACACTAGTCATATCACTCTCCTGCTTAAAAAACTGGAGTGGCTCCCAAACTCAGACCAAGCACTGCTTACAGAACCCCCAAGACCTAGGCCCTGCGAATCATCTCACAGGCTTCCTTCCGGCTGTAAATGACCGGATTTAGAGTCCTTCAACAGCCCGTGCCTTCCTTACCTCCAAAGTTTTGCCCATAATGTCCCTTCTCTTCCTAAAAGATACTTTCATGGCTCGCATTGCTAATATGGACTGCTCTATCCAACGCCAGTTTAGGCAATGCTTTTCGTAGGAAGCCTTCCCTGCCCTCAATCACTCCGAGTCCAACTATGTGATCTGCCGCACCCACTGAACCACCCAGCTGCCCACACCACAGTAGCTACTCTTCAGCCACTTAGACACCAATAGGGCAGCCCGGGGCAAGCCTGAGTAGCCTGAAGGTAGGACGTCAATGCCTAGAGCAGTGCCTGTTTTCAACAGAGATGTGATAAATATCTAACGAATAAACAGAGACGATTCAGTTTCTCCTGGCTTTTCAAATCTGTATCTGAGTTGCAACTCCCAAACTTCTTCCCCTTAGAATCAAACTGCAGGCTCTGTGACTGGAGCCCCACCCAGGAAGGTAAAATGGGCAGCTGGGCTACCTAACCGTGATGCCAGCTCAGGCAGCCACAGGAATCTGGTACCAGCAGGGATAGTGTTAGGCTTCAGGGGGATGGGTCCAGCTACAGAAGTACAGGAGGAACTTCTGTCCAGTGTATTCATTCCACATCTCCTAAGGCCCCAAGTCACCCCATGAATAAGTAGACTTTACAGCTTGGATCGCCACAGCTGAGTTGAAATCTGATGGAAGACTCAGGACTTGAATCAAACTGAGGTGCAAACTCAAAAGTTAAAAATCAAATTTTAAAATCAGGGTAGTGGTAATATTAATAATAATCATTACACTAATAATAGGAACTACTACTTTTTGAGTGGTTAGAATGTGTCTGCCACTGCTCCAACCTGACCATGTTTTATTCCATTGAATCCTTGCAGTAACCATCTGAAACAGGCACAAATCACCATCCCTAAATTATAGTTGGGGAAACTGAAGTTTAGAGAGACAAATTCACTACAAGGCCACACAGCTAGTGAGAAGCAGAACCAGGATTGGAACTCAGTTTTTTTTGACTTTTAAGATCACGCTCTCAGCACCAGGCATCCTACCTCAGAGGCACCATGAGAAGGGAAGCACAACAAAACATGTGAAAGATCTGCAGACCCAGGGGAGAGGAATGGGGCTGGCTACTCTGTGGAACGGACCATGTGCTTACAGGAGACACTGAGGAATAAGAGATGAACACACAGACCAGAGCGCTCTCAAAAGACTCTCACTGCCACTTTGCTTTATTTTGTACCAGGGATCAAACTTGGGACCTTGCACTTGCAAAGCAGGTGGCAGAACCACTGAGCTAAATTTCTGGCCCTCACTGCCACTTCTGAAACCATTAGTGGGTCTGAAGACTCACCCTTCCCAATTGGGAAATAGGAGGAGAAAAAGCAGTTGTCACACAAGGTCTCTGTGAACTTGGACAGCAAGTCTATCTGCCACTGTGGCCCCAGGAAAGCAGGCAGATCCCCTGACTTCATGATCCACATCTGAATCTACTGAGATGGTTCCCTGGACAGAATGGTAGCCTTCAGCCTCAACAGCAGGTACACAAGAATCTCTTGCTCTCATGAGCTCTGGACTAATGCTCACAGCTGTCTGCACCAGCAGTCCCAGGAGCCCAGTTCAAAGTGGCACAGCCAACCCAACATCAAAGCACTGCACAGAGGATGTGGCAGCTTGGCAGAAGCCTTCTCTCTGGAAACCTGCAGCCACAGACTGTGCATGAAATTTTCATCACCTGCACAGTTCAGCTGCTATAGTTCTTCCCATCCCAGCCATTCTGCCTCTTTCCAGGAACATTGGGAAAGGCTGGTGATAAACACTCCCTTCTCTGTGTCTATAGAACCGCCCAATACGACCCTGCCAGTGCTTCTCCACTTCCTGACACCCCAGT